TCGACCCACTAACCCAAAGCCCCTGCAGCCGCTAACCCCCAAAACCGCCCAACAAAAAAACCAAACACTATCGGATCCTATCAGCCCCCCTGAAGGGCTGAGTACCCGAGCCCAAGAGAGGTTAACCTGTCTAGTTACGGTAAGGTCCACAAAGTTAATTAAAACATGTTATAGAAAAGTTACCTACCCAGCGTGCCAAAACCCGAACCCCTAAACCTGAAGCCCTCTAGACTCCTATCCTTAAACCCCTGAAACCCCACACCCCAAAAAACCTAAACCCTATCAGATCCTATCAGCCCTCTTAAAGGCTACCTGCCCTAAACCCTAAACCCTAAAGTCCCAAAACCCTAAAAACCCCTTTAAACCCTAAACCCTAAACCCCATAAGCTTTAAAACCCCTTCAAACCCTGAGCCCAAAACCCTAAACCCTATAAAGCCTCTGGGCCCGAGACTTCCCAGCAGTGAGGCTGGACTCGGACTAACGTCGGGCCATGGATCCACTTTGGGATAAATGGACTTCTGTAAAGGATCGCATAGATCTTCTTACTGGTCGTGGGTGGATAATCAGCAGGCAGTTGCAGGACATTGACTTGGGACACAAGTTCAATACTGTGGTGAAGATACTGAGAATGGTGTCTAAACATCACGGCATTGCGAATGTTGTGGACCTGAAGTTGGATAATGCCCTGGAGACTCCTACTGTTGAAAGAAGGTCTCAGCTTACGGGTGAAGAGGTAATGCTGGATGCGAGTGCATGCCCCTTTCAGATCACCAACAAGGAAGTGTATATGCTGGCAGGAACAAAGTTCACACGAGATGCCAATGGGCAACGGGTTCTGAAAATCCCTGCAACAACAGAAAAGACGGCAGCGATCCTGCTGCCCTCTCGCACAGATGCTGTTGTGGAGATTGCTGAGCTCTTTGCTGGAGGACTCAACGGCTACAAGAGAGAGGCAGACATGCTCCCTGCAGAGTGCACGATCCGAGTGGAGAATGAGGGGATGGCAGTGGCGACAAGCCTGCTCAATGACCCCACAGCGGTGCTGTATACAGACAGAGGGGATCTCAACAAGTTCTCAGTTTTCTGGGGCGACGTGGCAGATCTCCGATGGACCCAAGCTATGCACACGAGCAATGTGGAAATTTGGTGTGTGGCCCCTCCTGGCCAAGCCTTTCAAGCAGGGGAAGCCTCGCAAGGCTTCCAGGATGGCCAGAAGTCAGCTCCGATCTGGCAGTTTTTCCTGATGGCTAGAATCTCACAGAGACGAGCCATTATTCTGGAGATGCCACCGGCTTTTGGCAAGCATCCGGACAAGAATCTGACGGTGGATATCCTGAAATGGGCGGGATATGTGCTCAAGTGGGAAGGATACATTGACCCCTCAGACCTGGTGCCAGCACACAGGAGAAAGCATTTCATGGTTTTCTGGAATGGAGCTGATGCCCCATCTGTGTCAGTTCCTTTTCATCTGGCGCCTGTGGGCAACAGAGGAGAAATGGCCTGCCATGAGGCTATATGGGACAACATGCCCAACACCTACGAAGATGCAATCAAGGTCCGTGACATGGATTACACAAAGATCACGAGCCGCGACCTCCTGCCGAAGTATCTCCAGATGAAGCCAGGAGCAGCATTGCAGCACAGATTGGTGGACCAGTCGAAGCCACTTCCCCCCATCACAGCAAGCTACAGAAATGTCTTGTCAACCCCATGGGCTACACTAGCAAAAAGGGGCCTGCACTTCTCTGTGGTCGAGCCTTCGCCGGGATTCCTCAGGTACCTCTCCAAGTGGGAAGTGATTCGGTGCTTTGGTTTCCCTCCTGATGTGATTCTCCTGGAGCCCGAAGGAGACGGATTCATGCTGCTAGGCGACTGCACAATACCAGCCCAGGCTCTGCTGATCCTGGGTTCGGTTATTGCACACCGGCAAGAGGAGCCGATGCACGATGATCAGGTTCTCCGCTACCTGGATGAAGGCCTCCTTGAGATCAACCGGAAATGGGGGCCATGGGATGGTATCATGCCTTACAGCAGAAATGCATGGTCTATGCTCCTGCCAGAGAATGACCCAGGAAGGAGCTCATCGGGAGTGCTTGCAGCCCGGATCAATGCTCTGCAAGTCAACCTGGACACCCTGACCTATGGCAGGTTCACTCATGGAAGGAGAGCCCCGTATTTTTCGGAAGAAACAAGGGTGGAGTATGAAAGGTTCTTCTCTGAAGAGCCGCCAACACCCCCGATGTCACACCGAGTCTTCGAAGTCTTCAGTGGCTACCATGATGTGAATCTAAGTGATGAGGATACGGTGGCTTCAGTGCACCAGCAGATTGCAGATTTCCTCTTCATCCAGGCTGCGAACTTGGTGGCAGTCACAGTCAAGCATGAAGATCCAGCAATGGCGAGATGGATATTGGCGGGAGAGATTCTACCCCACACCATGGAACGAGCATTGGTTCTGGTGGATGCTGCTGTGTCACAAGCACACTGGTTGCCTGACCTCTGCAGACAGAGAGATTTGGCTACTACGTACATGGACTCCCATGGATCTTTCCCGGACATTGTTATGCACAATGGGACCATGATAGATGATGTCCACTGGCCGATAGCCCTCCACTCGGGAGACTTTCTCAGGCTGAGATGGGACAATCACTCAGACCATGAATGGACTTATGTGGATGTCTTCAAACAATTTGACAAGGTGCAGCAAACCCTGCCAGACTCGCCTCACACCGAAGACAGCGAAAGCAGCGCAGGTGGACCTGTCAATGACCCTCCACTGGAAGACACGCAGCAAACTGCAATTCTGCCGGCCACAGCCAACTACAATACGATGACAACCCCGGAGATGTCTACAGCAGTCTACCTTGCTTTTCAGAGCAGACTGCTAGCAGTTGGACAAGGAGATGAAAGGAGCCTGGAGCAGATCATTCAGGATGAGTGGGGTGTTCCTCCCGAGGCAGCATACTTCACTTTGTTTGGGAGAGTCTTGGCTCCCTCAGCTACGTGCTCCTGTGTGCCCATTGGAGCGACGGTGATTGTCAGAGGAAGGATGAGAGGTGGAACAGCCACACCGGTCCAGAAACTCAGAGGACTTCTTGCAGCCAAAGGAGTACCGGAAGAGAATTTGGACGCAAGGATCAAAGAAATCAAGGACCAGGTGGGCGACAAGGGGATCAAAGAAGCATACTCATCCTGGGACCCTTGGAGCAAGCTCAAAGCGACACGCACGACCAGCCTTGTCAAAGAGTCCGAGGCGAAGAATAGGCCAAAACAGAAGGACATACAGAAAGACAGTGGTCTGGACCCGCTGGCTACTTCGGATCCCTGGATGCAAGCCCTACAGGACAGAGGGTCATGGAAACTTGAGTGCTCCTTCTTTCAGATGGAAGATGGCACTACGCCATCGCCACTCTCCAAGATTACACATGGTTCAGTCGGTGTGGCCCTTGTCAATGAAAGGGAAGCAGAACTTTTGCTCCAGAACCAGGAGAAGATGTCATCTGGAGAATTGGCAGCCATTGTGGTTGGATCCTCCTTCCAGAGTGCAGGAAATTTTCACATACAACAAGTGGAAGTGCCATGCCGCAACGCACAAGATGCCCGAATCCTGGTTCGTGCTCAGATGCTGAACTTGGGGGCCAAGCATCTCCGCTTGGCTGGAGAATCTTCGAGGATAAAAGTTGATGAGCTTGATGCAGTGGTTTTGGCATGTGAGTTGGTGAAAAAGGAAATCCGGGAATGGGAGGAGGTTGCCGACGCGCCACTCAAGTTTCTCAAGAAGAAGATCCCGTCCTTGGAGGAGGCAATCTTTGCTACATGGGGCAAGAGATGTTTCGTTGGTGGCAAGCCCACCATGGATGCAATGCTTGCAGAAACCATGTTCATCATGCTCCGGATCAAGAAGCAGTTCAAGGAGGCTGTGCTCAAGTCGGTGATGGAAGGAATATATTTTTCTCCACGAATGGAGGACAACACCCCTGACAGCACCTACAAGGTCATCTGGTTCCCTGACAAACCATTGGGAGAAGTTTTGGTGAAGGCCAATACAGAACCAGCAGCAATGGGCCTCGTCAGGAATCGGACTGGTTATGGGATACGAGTCAGAGCAGCTGAGTTTTCCAAGCTCAAGCAGAAATGGGTACCAGCATGGAAGCCTCTGGCCAACACACCCTACGACCTACGAATCCAGAAGCATTTTGACCTCCAGAACATGCCGCTCAGCTGCTCCAAAGCTGAAGTCCAGAAGTTCCTCAACGACATTAGTTGGCCGGCTCTTGCTTTGAAGCAAACCCAGCCGCGAACTTGGCTGGTTGGAGCAGAGCAGCCTCCAGAGAACTTGGTGCACCTGGTTTCCCATGGCACTATTCTCATCACAGAAAGATCGCCAAAGGGAAAAGGAAAAGCAGCTGGAAAGGGTAAAACCAAGATGGCGATGAAAGGTATGACCCCCTGGCTGGTGGCAAGCTCATCTATGTTCATGCCAAATCACTCGGCGAGCACTTCGGCGGGCCCGCACCTGGCCATGCAACTGGATGATGCAGTCGCCTCGGACCTCGAGGATCGAATCCAGAAGAAGATTGACCAACTTCACAAAGAGCAACAATCTTCCTACGCTATCTTGAAGGACGACCTTGCCGAGTTCAAAGCTGAAGTTAAAATGACACACCAGAAGCAGGACAAGATCAACAATGACTTGGCAGCAGGCATTGCTGGAATCACCGGGGCCATCTCCACCCAATTGGCCCAGAACACGGCATCAATCACTGCGGCTTTGGATGGTCATCGTGCAGAGATCATGAAGGACTTGGCCACCTTTCAAGCAGACCTCAAGAGTGAACTCATGGGCGAGGTCAGAAGCCAGATCGGAACGATGAGGAAACGGACACCGTCCCCGAAGTCTGCTGGCGAAGCAGGCGAGGGAAAGAAGCCGAAGCAGTGACACACAAGCGGGGGTACCTCGCCCCCTACAGTAATTCACCTGGATGAATTTCTTGGTGGTATGCAGCAGACGGCTGGCAACAACTACCGACCAACTGTCGACGGTTATTTTCAGTATGCTGATGGCGGCGTGGATGAAGGCTTCCTGGCCCGAGAGAGCTGCTATGAGGCGAATTTGTATCTTAATTCAATGTATCCGCGGACAGATTTCAAAGCTTTGGGGTGCATTTGGCACCCACCTCCATGGAATCAAAGACTTCGACTCGGGGAAGCAAAGAACCCAGGACCCCAACAATCTATGATGACGATTTCGGCATTGAACGTTCAATTCCTGAATGGGTTCTTGGAAGAGGGCCGCTTCATTCAAGATGTGGACGTGGCGGTATATTCGGAGACAGCTGCAACCAGCTTTGTGCAGCAGAAGGCGACCAAGGTGGCACACTCATCTGGGAGGCATCTGGTGCGCAGCAAGGCAGTGGCCAATCGATCGTTCGCTGACGGACGGCTCTGCGTGACAAAAGGTCAGGCATCCGGCACTGCCATATTGTCCACATTGCCTACAAGGCCGGTTCGTTCGGCATGGACACCAGAGTGTTGGAACACGGGAAGAGTGGTGGATTCCTTTATACTAACTTCTGTTGGTATGGTCTACATATGTGCAGTTTATGGATTACACCAAGGACTACCGGATGCAAACCTGCACAATGAAGACATTCTTCGTGAAGTTGGGCAAAGAGCTTCCCTGCTCAACTGCCCTGCCATCATTCTGGGTGACTTGAACACCGACATCCAAGGTCTTCTGGCCTGGCAGATACTTCAAGATCAAGGATGGCAGGATGCTGCCTTATGGCAAGAGTTCAAAGATGGCAACCCTCCGGCCAATACCTACAAAGAGGAAACCAGGATTGATTACATTCTTGTCAATGCTACGGCGGCCATGGCCCTTCGATCTTTCTCTGTTTCAATGCAGCCTGAAACAGACCACAAATCGGTGTCAGCAGTTTTCGACTGGTCAGTGCTACCTACGAAGATTCAACATTTCCGGATGCCTTCGGAAGTGACAGTGTCTGGTCTTTCTGAAGACGAGCTCCGCCATGCCTATGTACCGTCGTTTCTCCTGGCTCGACTACGAGATGCTTTGGAAGCACAGGATGTGGACTCGGCCTGGAATTTCTTTGCTGAAGCATATGAAGGCGCAGTTGCTTATGCTACACAGAACAAGACAGGACAGCAGCTGCCCAAAAGCTTCTATGCCAGAGCCAAAGGAAGACTTCATGAAGCTCCTCATGTTGAAACCCAAGTACCATATGCAAGGTTGGGTGAATTTCAGCCGACTGGAGAAGAGACTAACTTGACCCTTAGACAGAGGATCCGCCAAGTTCGCCGTATTGCTACATATGCTGCTCAATCTGAAGCGATGCACAGATACCACCCTGGAACAGATCTTTGGCAGCGAGCAAATGTGGCTAGACAGAAGACCTGGGCTGCTGTGGTGTCCTCTTCGGGTTTCAGCGGTCCTTTCCAGAAGTGGTGGATGGAGCAACATCGTGACGAGTTTCCTCTGGGATTCCCTTCTGTGGCAGTTGCTAGGGCTATGCTTCAAGTTCTCAAGAAGGATGAGATTCATTGGAGACAACATGCTAGGAAACTTCGTTCACAACACACCAGCAAAGTTTTCCATGATGATTGGAAGTTAGGAGGAGCCAAGCACTTCAGTGCTATAAAGCCCCCTGGCATGCCTAGAGTGGACTCCCTGGATGTTTCATCTACTCACCGGGTGCAACTTTGCAGGGCCCGTGGAAAAAAGAGGACGACTTTCCTTGTGAGAGATGATGATTTGCAGTGTATCAGGGTAGGATGCAGATGGTCACAGGGATCCTCGACGGCTACTGTTTCTAAAATTGTGCAAGGCAAGATCCATTTGGCGAATGTTTGTGGCACCTTCAAATCTGGAAGTATACTACAGTACAGGCCTACGGCCATGCCGCATGAGATTACCCAGGTGGCGGGAGAATATTGGAGATCTTTCTGGAATACAAAGAAGCACACTCATGCACAAGATGCTGAGATCCAGAATGCCATTGATGCTTTACCTGATTTACCGGACCTTGACATTAACATCGATCAACAGGACTTGGTTTGGGCGTTGTCTAAACTTGCTGTCAAGAAAGCACGTGGAATGGATGGTTTCTCCAATTACGAGTTGAAACACTTGCCGATCTCTTTACATTCGCCTCTGGTCAAACTACTGAACTTGTTTACAACCAAATCGAGGTGGCCAACCAGCTTGACCCGCGCAAGGATGGCACTTCTACACAAGACACAGGTGGTGGGAGACGTATCCTCAACAAGGCCTATTACGATTTTGGCATCGGTTTACAGGCTCTGGGCCAAAATCGTCACGAGAAAGATGTTACAACACGTCACCCCCCACCTTCCTACTACTTTATTTGGATCAGTGCCAGGGAGATGTTCCGGAGATATGGTTGCTATGGTGCAAACAAGACTTGAAAAGGCCCTCTTGACTGGCCACCCTATGTTTGGAGTATCATTGGACTTTTCCAAGGCATACAACACTTTGCCAAGAGAACTCCTGGGGTTGATTAATCACAAACTAGGGCTTTCCAACTTGTGGCGGCCATATTCTTCTTTTCTGTCATCCTTGCAGAGACACTTCAAATGTGGTGATCATTGGGGTCAACCTCAAAGGTCATTGGTGGGAGTCCCGGAGGGGTGTCCTATTGCAGTTGGCCAGATGATCTTATTGACGTGGGTTTTTACCTTGGCCATGAAACAGGAATCCGAAACGGCCTTATATTCCTATGTGGATGATTGGATCTTGCTCACTTCGGAGACGGAGCCACTAATCAAGGCGATCTTCAAGATACAATCTTTGGCTACCAAGTTTGGGCTTATTCTGTCTCTTAGCAAATCGGGAGTTTTTGCTACGAATCAGAAGCTGGCGAAGCAGTTGCAAGGGACATTGGCACATCAAGGAATCACAATTGGACTGGTCAAAAACTTCAAGGGATTGGGGGTTAACTTCCAGACGGCCAAGCAATTGGGAACCCAACTCAGAGATGAGAGATGGACAAAAGCCAAGGTCCTCTTAAAACGCTTGCAGTATATGCCCTGGACGGAGAAGGTTAAAACGCAGATTGTCAATCGTGGCATTCTCCCCCTAACTTTCTATGGTGCACAAACTTGGATGGCAGGGAAAGATTTTATTAGAGAAGTGCGAGCCAAGTGCAACGACTCTGTTTGGGGAAAGAAACAATATCATTTACACTACTTGGCCCCCCTTTTCTCTGGAGCAGACTATGAACCTATGCTTTATTTGGCCAAGTACAGATTTTCCTCTTTCATGCGTATGGTGGCACGGGATTTGACACTCGTGACAGAAGTGTGGAACCTCGCAATCTCCAACAAAGCATACTTCAAGAGATTCACCAAGGGAACAGTGTCCCTCTTACAGTGTCAATTGAATGATCTGGGCTGGGAACTCAAGCAGGATGGTACCTGTACATCCTGTGGTGGCTGGATTTTCAAGATTTGGGATATTTCCATGGCACAGTTCCAGCATTTGGTCCGAGAGGATTGGGAACAAGGCCTCCTGCAACATCTTCGACTCAAACAGAACATTCATGATATCCAGACTTTCTCGGCCTACAGATCTCAATACCCCTCCTTGGCGGATCCTATGCTGGAAGGTTTCATGCGAAAGGTGCGCTTAGGAGGACTTTTTCCACAAAGGCGAAGATCCCATGTCAATGATGCCCAAGATGACACTTGTCATTTCTGCGGGGAGGTGGATACACTCAAACACAGAGTTCACTATTGTCCTGCAACCTACTCTGTCCGTCAGTCCCCGGACTGGGAGGAAGTTTCAACACAATTGGATTCCGTGCTTTTGGCAGGCCTCTTTCAGAAACTCCCTGGGTTTGACAAGTACCAACAGCAATTAGATGCTCTGGGGCACCCGGATATCGTTTGCCCTTCCTTTGATTCCCCGAGGTATTCTCTTTTTACGGATGGATCAGCTTCACATGGCAACTGTCCTTTTCTAAGACTTTGTGGATGGGCTGTTACTTGTGCTCATGGTGATGGGCCAAAGAACACAGTTCTGACTGCGGGTTTGTTACCTGGAGGGAAACAGACGGTGTTTAGAGCAGAATTCCAAGCCGTGAATGTTGCAATCGCTTCTGCCCCATGTGTGGACGTCTACACCGACAATCAAGCAGTTGCACGTATAGTCAATCATCTCTTGGTCTCTGGTTATTGTAATGAAAGATGGTTTACGCATCCTGACCGAGGTCTTATCGTTACATGCTCCAGGCTGCTTGCAAGGAAAGCCAGAGGTGATGTTACTGTTACTTGGGTCAAGGCGCACAGAGCCATTACTTCGGCAGCCAACAATCGAGATTTATGGCTGATACACCACAATGCTGCTGCTGACTCTGCTGCACAGCAACCGCTACTTCATATACCGCCACTGCTTGCTGGCCCACGTTCTGAACTCAATGCTCGTTTGCTGTCAGATGTGGCCATCAAATACAAGGCTTGTAAAATCCTGCGAATGGTGATGGATGAGTTCCCCTGAAGTCTCTGAGTGCATGCCTAGTTTTTTGAGCTTTTATCTGTCTGCCTAATGTGGTGGTGCAGTCACGTCTCTTACGACCGGACTTCGCCATGTCAAGCTGTGTGCCTAAACCCTATAAGCCCTAAAGACTTTTTAAACCCTAAACCCAAAGCCCTGTCAGATGCCCTAAACCCTGAACCCTCAAAGCCCTAAAGGCCCTTTTAAACCCTATAAACCCTAAATCCTGTCAGATGCCCCCAACGTTCGGCCCGGTGCCTGCAGAGTCGGCAGAGGAAGGCGCCGCTGCCGAGACCTCCGTCGCTTCCACAGGAGGCCTCGGCCCAGGTCCCGGCTGAGGTCTTTTGCGTTTCGGGTTTAGGGCTTTCGGGGTTTTAGGGTTAGGGTTCAAGGCTGAGGGCTTTTGCGTTTCGGGTTTAGGGCTCTAGGACTTTCGGGTTTGGAGGTTTAGGGCTTCAGGGTTTTAGAGTTTGGAGTTTAGAGGTTTGGAGTTTTAGGGTTTAGGGTTTTAGGGTTTAGGGTTTAGGGTTTAGGGTCAAGGTTCAAGGTTCTGGGGTTAGGGGTTTAGGGCTTCAGGGTTTAGGGATTTAGGGCTTGGGTCTTTAGGGCTTTAGGGTTTAGTTTGGGGTTTAGGGTTTAGGGCTGCCTCCGATTGCCTCTCAAGGCTTTAGGCTTCGCTTCGGGGGTTTGAGGGCCTCAGGGTTGCAGAGATTGAGTGTTCGCATGAGTTGATTGAGACTTTCTTCAGGGTTTGATATAGGGGCCTTAGTAACTAGAATAGGGTTTTGGGGCCCATTATACCACAATGATAACGAGGAACCCTCAAAACCCTATTCTAATTATTAAGGCCCCCTATAGTAGGGCCAGGGCAAGAGGGCCGTATGGCTTCGGGTTGAGAGTAGGTGCGGCGGGAGCCTCCAGGGTTGGGGCTTACGGGATTTAGGGTTTAGGGTTTAGGGTTTAGGGTTTAGGGTTTAATGATTAGGGTTTCTTCGAGACTTTGTTCGTTCAGGTGTCATGCTGTCAGGCCTCTAAACCCTCAACCCTGAACCCTTTAAACCCTCTAAACCCTAAACCCTCTAAACCCTCTAAACCCTAAACCCTCTAAACCCTCTAAGCCCTAAACCCTCTAAGCCCTAAACCCTAAACCCTAAACCCTCTAAACCCCAACCCCTAACCCGTAAACCCTAAACCCTAAACCCTCTACCCTAAACCCCTAAACCGTATGCATCAAACTTGCTCTTTCGAGCGGCTCGTCCTCGGTAGCCCTTTCGGCCGACACTTCGGGAGCATCGGCGCCCTGAGGAAGCTGCTCTTTTCCGGCGTTGCTCAGGGTTTAGAGTTTAGGGTTTAGGGTTTCTAGGGCTTCTAGGGTTTAGGGTTTAGGGTTTCTAGGGCTTCTAGGGTTTAGGGTTTAGGGTTTCTAGGGCTTCTAGGGTTTTAGGGCTTTAGGGTTTCAGGGTTTAGGGTTTCTAGGGCTTCTAGGGTTTAGGGTTTCTAGGGCTTCTAGGGTTTTAGGGTTTTAAGGTTTTAGGGTTTAGGGTTTAGGGTTTCTAGGGCTTCTAGGGTTTAGGGTTTAGGGTTTCTAGGGCTTCTAGGGTTTTAGGGTTTTGTTTGTTAAGTGCAATGGCTTCTTTCTCCACCGCTGAAGTCAGAAGCCAGGGTTTAAGGTTTAGGGTTCAGGGTCTTGTTTCTGGTTGGTCGCTTCTGTCTGTTTTGGTTTAGGGCTTTTGGTGTTATTAGTGCCGTTCGCTTGGCGGCTTAGTTGATTTTGCTTCTGGGAGCTCATACGCTCATAGGCTTTTAGTAAGCCTCTTATGGAAGGATTTTCAAATCGTTTTCAAAGGTTCAGGGCTGAATCAGGGTTTGGGGTTGCGGGTTTTCGGGGGATTCACGAAAAACATCACCTTATTTAGTCACAACACCTCACCACCAAACCCCAAACTGACCTGGGCAAGGCCTGAACCCGAAAGCATCGACGCCGACCTGGCAAAGGTTCTCCAAAGATAGGATCCGTTTCGGGTGCCATCTTATAAGGGTTCCAGGATCTGTACTATATTGGGCACCAAAAATTGCCCTAATTTTGAGAACTATCCATATAAAACCCAACTTACACTACATGCGAAGCCATGCTGAAGCGAAACGCTTAACTAAACCGTGCAAACCATGATGCCAACCCTGAACTCAAAAACCTAGACCCTAAAACCCTTAAACCAAACCCTAAACCCCTAAACCCCATAACCCTAAACCCTAACCCTAAACCCTATAACCCTAAACCCCTAGATCCTGAAACTCTCAAGGCCGAAACACTCCGAAGCCCTGGACCCCCAACACCTCAAAGCAAGCAGAAAACCCTCTAAAATCGCAGAACCCTATTGGCTTAGGGTCTAGGGTTTTAGGGCTTAGGGCTTCAGAAGCCTACTGGTTTAGGGTTTAGGGGTTAGGGCTTTCATCCTAAACTCAACATAACCCTCCACACGCAAAGAAACAAACCCCAAACCCTAAACCCCAAACCCCCAAACCCTGAACCCTAAACCCAAAACAACACAACCGCACCTCGTCCTCGGAGTCTTCCTCCTTGGCCGTGAACTTCACATCCTCCAGCGATCGGTTTAGGGTTTAGGATTTCGGATGTGGTGATGATTGTGGGGCTTGAGATTTCATTTTCGGCCTGGGCCCTAAGACCCTAAACCCTAAGACCCGAAAGCCCCAAAACCCGAAAACCCCAAACCCTGAACCCCAAAACCTTACTAAACCCTAAAACCCTAGAGCCCTAGACCCCGAAAACCTGGAGTAGATTGTTGTTTCAGGTTCTTGGATTTCAGCATCATTACGGGGGCTACCGCCCATGGTTCCGGGCAGCATGGGTTTAGCTTCAGGGTTACAAGAGACTATTTCCGTAAACCCTCAACACCAAACCCCTAGGCCCTAAACCCTAAACCCCTAAACCCTAAACCCTAAACCCTAAAGACTTCGATGAGATGGGATGTGCTGATGTACTGTACGCTTTGGGGGGCGAAGCCCTGCCAATACGCCTCAACCCTAAAATCCCTAGATGCCCTATAACTGTCAACCCCAAAAGCCCAAAGCCTAAACTCTAATGCAGAGAATGGAATAATTGCAAGGTCCACGGTCTACAAGCTTTTTGAGGGTTCCTTTAAAAGTTCGTGCGCCTTTTTCGAGGATCGCAACGAAAGGAAAGCATAGATCCTTACAAAACCTGTACCCTTGCGGCCCCGAAGCCTCGAATCCTCTCGACAAACCCGAATCTAAGCCCTAAGCCCTACTTGGAGGACCAGGGGACTTAGTAAGTAGGTTATAAGTAGAGTTATAAGTACCCTAAATGGAGTTACCCCAATTATAACCCTACTTATAACCGACTTACAAGTCCGCTGGCTGGACCTCCAAGTAAACCCTGGTCCTCTTAACAAGCCCTACTTGGAGGGTCGGGAGACTTAGTAAGAAGGTATTAAGTGGGACCCTAATTGGGGTTAGAGTACTTATAAGTCCATAAAATAACCATTTACTAAGTCCCCCGACCCTCCAAGTAATCTAAGCCCTAAACAACCCAAGACCATAAACCCCACGCCACGCTAAATCCGAAACCCTAGACGAAAAGCCTGAACCCTTCTAGAGTAGCCCTCCAAGGGCCCCATAAGGTAACCTTTAAAGCACCCTGAAAGGCCCACTCCCCATCCAAAGACAACTAGAGACCGAGCGACCTGTGTCCGCAAACCCAAACCTTTATCCAACTGTTACGGAGTGGCCGGGGTTGTCGGTTTAGGGTTTAAGGTATTTAGGGACTGAGGGTATACCTATAGCCTCCACTGTGGTTGCTGTTTTTGGCTCAAAAGTTTTATCGTTCGGATCCTAAATCTAGATAAACTTGGATAACCAAACATGTGGAACCACGATGGAGACCGTAGGTATACATCTAAACCCCGCACGGCCTCCCAGCGCACCCCGAAGGTTTCGCAGGTGTACGGCGGCGGCCTCGGCCAAATGTAGGGGCATTGACAGTTCGAACAGGCCCTGAGGGTCCAAAGGACCCAATAAGTAGGTACTCAGGTTTGGGATAGTACCCTAACCCCCCAGGTACCTAGTATACAGGGTACTAGAGCCTTTCGGGGGGTATATAGTAGGCACCTGGAGGGTTAGGGGTAGTTATGCGGGTTACTACCCTTCGGATGTCAGATGGTCTTATAAGGGGTTTAGGGTTCAGGGGTTTAGGTTTAAGGTTTTATTATGGTTGCTTCAGGTTGCGGAATTTAGGGCTTGGGAGCACCTTTCAAGGCTGCAGGCTACGGCTCTTTTTCGGGTTCCTTGGCTCATTTGAGGGCGCCTTCATCGATTTCCGTTATGGGTTCCTTTAACCATACTACTTGTATCGGGGTCCTAGATTAGATAGTCCTAGCACGAGTGGGGCTTCCGGGTCTTGGGCTCGTAAGCAGACAGAGACTTTTCGACTTGAATCCTTCTCTCACTTGCTCCGGAGACAAAGTCCACCCAACAACGCCAAGAACCCAAACCCAACCATCTCCCTGGTCTTTGCATACCAATCGAGGAACCAGCTGATGAAGCGGGTTTCGAGGTATTGCTCCGTGGTGTCAAACTGTTGCGAAATGCAGTCGTTCGGGACGTCGAAACTCTTGTCCACGAATCTCACGAAGATCAGGAACCGGTCCAAGTAGAGATTCGCCGTCCCATGGCTGAGGGAAGCGTCTCCTCGGGACACCTCCGCAGATGCAGCCTCCACCAGGTTCGGTCCTCTTCCAAGTGGAGGCCATGGGACTCGCAGGAGGCTTCTTGAAGGTGCAACTTTGGGTTCCTGAACTTGGGAGAGTTTCCCATACCTTATTTTGAGGTCCTCGCAATAAGGATCCTATTATCTAGAATACTATATTAGGTCATTCTGGGGTCCTTGTAATAAGGATCCTAGTATTTAGAGTACTACAGTATATTAGGGTCCCCTGTTTTCGGAAACCCCCATTTGTTTGTCATGA